TTCACTCTGGAGAAAAGCCTTTTAACTGTGATCAGTGTGGTAAAAGGTTTATTTCACCAGCAAATCTAAAAACACACCTGACAGTTCATTCAGATGAGAAGCCTCATGTGTATTCGAACTGTGGAAAGAGTTTTTCAAATCTGGACAATTGTAAACTGCACCAGAAAATCCATAATGAAGTGAAAAATCATGTGTGTTGTGAGTGTACGAAGAGCTTTACTAGAGCTCGCGATCTGAAACAGCACCAAAGGATTCATACTGGAGAAAAACCTTACAGGTGCTCATATTGTGACAAGAGTTTCACTCAGTCTGGAAGCCTGAAAAGACATGAGCGAGTTCATTCTGGAGAGAAACCGTACCACTGTACTCAGTGTGGAAAGAGTTTCACTCAGTCAGTGACTCTTGTGACTCATATTAAAAAGCATTGTTCTGTGTCAGAGTGAGCAAATGTTTTCTACAGATTCAGTATTTCAAATAAATGCTGTGAGATTCAGATTCAGTAAACATGAGATTAGCGCAAATGATTAGTTTTGCTGTGAACAAGATTTGTGGAGGTTTTTTTTCCAGTTTTGTTGGAGAACAGCAAAAGTATTTAGTCACTTTAGTCTTACATTGATTTTTTTTTATGTAACAAAAATATGTAAAAAAAAAAAAAGATATTCATTTATAACTGCATTATTATTATATGCAACATAAAAGTTGTGTAGGCTCTGTATAATGATGTAAATAAAATTTCCATTTCACTGACATCTCTGATTATGTGGATTATATAGTATTTAGTTGTTCAGTAATCGATTTTATTTGTGTTGATCCTGTAGTTTGTCTCAGTCTGTTGACACACAATGAAATGAGCTTAATGTGCCAATTTACAGAAGATCTCAGACGTCATCATAATGAATGAGCTGAAAACAGGGAACTATTGGCTTTTCAGCAGCTCATTTGATGATAGTCTTTTTATCAGGAGAGATTATTCAGTGCAGATCAAATGAAAATAACGTAAAATACACAGATTAAAATCATTCTATCTTTGGAAAATCCTCATAAACCATAAAAACCCAACATATGTGTGTGTTACCAGGATTTTCCAGGTGGCAACAATACACTAAAATTTACAGCTCATTTAAATTTACAGTTTGCACGTGAAAGGTGTTTCCAGTTCACAGAATATGACTTTATCCAGCTTTTCATGGCTCAACAGTTTATCAGTAAAAGTTGGGAATATTTATATCTGTCACAGTCTTTAGCGGGTGTGCCCAGGATGGCCACCAGATGAATGAATGAATGATGCATTTATATAGCGCTTTATTGTGTATTGCTGTACACCCAAAGCGCTTCACAATCATGTGGGGTGGGGGGGGTCTCTCCTCAACCACCACCAGTGTGCAGCATCCACCTGGATGATGCGACGGCAGTCACAGTACAGCGGCGCCAGTGCACTCAACCACACACCAGATACAGGTGGAGAGGAGAGAGAGATAGAGCCAATCAAGTGGTTGGGGATTGTTAGGAGGCCATGATTGACAAAGGCCAGGGGAGCAATTTGGCCAGGACACCGGGGTTACACCCCTACTCTTTACGAGAAGTGCCATAAAAGATGACTGTGTTCCGTGAGCACATGGCTTGTGTTGTGTTTGTTTGTTGCCATGTGCTCTCTCCTGTCTATTGTCTGACCCCGCCCATCTTGTTACCCCATTATTGTTTAAGTTGCTCCACCTGTGTCTCCCTCGTTAGCCTCCTCGTTTGGTTTCCCATTTATTCTCCTGGTGTCTGTAATCCTGTGCTGGTCCGTCATTTCTCATTGTGTGTGTGTGTTATATCTGCATGTAGTGTAGTTCCTAGCCTGCCTGTCTGTTTTTCCCCCTCGGGGTGGTTTGCGTTTGTTTTTGTTTAATTTTATTATTAAAATAAAGAACCATTCATCCTGCACTTCATCTCCCCGCACGCACCGTGACAACATAATTCTTAGAACAAACTCCAGCAGCTGAAATCTGACACATACTATTTAGTTTATTAGGAGATTGATGACATGAGAGATTCAGAACCATCCAGAATAACACATGAAGACACTGAGGAACAAACAGGCTTTTGTCCATCGATAAGTATAATGATGATAAATGATTCAGAAATGCATTTAAATGATCATGACCCCGTACAGCAGTAACAAGTGAATGACCGAACTAAGCTTTGGCTCATCAAATATCTGACAATCACAGACTGATACCTGATCTCTGCTGTTTTCTGTTGTTAAATCAAGGTTCACATTCAGTTTTCACATTTATCCATCTGGAAATGATTGTAACTTAACATGTATATTCAAAGATGTCAAAATGAGCAAAGTCTATCAATTAGGTGTTTATGGCAAATATTTGAACATCTATATTGTTAAGGTAATTGCAGAGAGTTTTACTGCTGCATCAGGTCTCACATATCATATGCTCTGTCACTCTGGAGAAAAGCCATTTAGCTGTGATCAGTGTGGTAAAGATTTTATCTCATCAAAACGAAAAAAGTTAATTCAGATGAGAAACCTCTGTTCTTTCTATGGAAAGAGATTTTCACTGCAACACAATTTAAAACAGCACAACAAAATACATAATGACCAGAAAGCTCATGTGTGTTGTGAGTGTGAGAAAAGCTTCACTACAGCTAGATATCTGCAACTTCACCAAAGAATTCACACTGGAGAAAAACCTTACAAGTGCTCCTATTGTGATAAGAGTTTCACTCAGTCTGCACACATGAAAGTACACAAGCAAGTTCATTCTGGAGGGAAACCGTACCACTGTACTCAGTGTGGAGAGAGTTTTAAACATTCAAACTCTGTAGGGAATCATATGAAAAAGATTAGTCTGAAGTTGTCATGATTAGCAAAGTGTATCTATTCATCCAGTAAGTTAGACTCCAGGTGCTTTATTGGCATGACAAATATTTGTACCTTCATTGTCTAAGTATAGGTTAGTAGACAACATGATATGTTATAAGTCAATGTTTCCTGTTTGTTTAAAACTTGATTTCAGTGTGAGTACTTTTATTTTTAATATTTCCAGCACATTTTAACAATACCATCGTAATATTGATAACTGTATAACTATATTACATTGGAGATGCATCGCATTAGTAAGGCCGCTGTATGTTGAATGGTAAGGAAAATGTGCCTCGCTCTCACGCTCTTTCTGAGAATGTTTGTGTTGTTTCGTGGGCACAAATCATCAAAGAGGAGTTTCACAGGTCTGCAGGTCAGTGCTGTACAAATCGCTTTAAATTAGGCTAATCTGATAAAAGACGTTCACTTGATATTCATCGCTATATTAATCCGTCAGTGGTGCTGATGCAGGTTCTCCCCCCATTTTACGAGCCTCCTTCTTGCTGTTGGCTGAGTAGAAGTCATTCATTTTAGAAGTCATAGAATGTAAATTTTTATTACACTAATGAAGAAATGTAACAGGTTGAATTGTGTAAAAAGCATTAGACTATGTAGAAAATCTGTTGCACCTTGAAATAGACGCTTAATGATGTATATTTAATATGTCAAATGTTTGTAAAGTTAAGTAGTTTGAAAAAAAAAAGATTTTAGTATAACCTATATCAAAGTTAACCATGGTTTTATCGTAGTAAAAGTGTAGTAACCAGTTTTTTTGGCGTATTGTTTACCATTTGTATAACCAGTTTTACTACAAATACAATGGTTAAACTATGGTTAGTGTAGCAAAAATTAAGCATTAGCGTTAGTTCTGGCAGGTCACGTGAGTCAAGCTTGCATCGGCTGATTCTCAGCTGACCACATCTACCTATAGGAATACGACACCTATCACGGCATTCCTATATAAGCTCTATTCCGCATTATTCAGCAGTTTTTCAGCTTGCTCCGGAGCAAATTACCCTCCTCCATCCCCAGCTCCTCCTTTCGCCACAGTCAGGACTTGGCTTTCTGATATTCTTTGCTAATCAGACTCCTTTATCTTGAATAAAGTGTTACACTTAAATATCATTAAGTACATTAATAATATCTGCCTTGTTCTCTTCTGTTAACCCTAGGGGGGTATTATTGCTGCTCTCCCTGCTCATTCATGACAGGCTGCCCTAACCCAGAACAGAACCATACCGCCAAACCAAACTTTATGCTAAGTATCTATCGTTTTGACGATAGTGGTCCTGACAGAACCATGGTTAATTTGTAGTTACCATGGTTTAACTATAGTAACCATGTTTTTTTTTGTTTTATTTGTAGTAAAACCATGGTTAATTTTCGTAAAGGATTAACTTTTTATGCTTAAAGCTTATAAAAATGATCTCGCAGTTTAGTTGTTTCAATGATTTTTTTAAGTTGACACAACTTGCAGTTTCTGAATTTGTTTATTCAACTTAACATTAAGTTCTCACTGTCTCAACTGACGGAACTAGAGTATTTGCCCCCTCAACAAAAAAAAAATGTGTTGAATCAATTCAATAACGATGTCACGTTCTCAACATCACTTATCTCGAGAACTCGTGAAGACCGTTGCAGAGCAGACAGAAGACGTTAACTTCGTCAGTCATCTTGGTGAGGTCCTACACAAAGTTTGAAATTATTCTCAATCAACAAATTTAGTTAGTAAATATTTGTATTTATTGGTTTGATATGTGTACAATTAAGTATGTTATCTAAGAAGAGTACAAGTATGGTTTAAAATGTCGTATTTTCTAGTAATATGTGTGCCAGTGTTAGTTTCTCGGCACTTTGAAGCCTAAAAAATGCATGCGGTTCCACAGTATTTTCCACATAAATAATGAATATTCTCCCATACAGTACTGAGCTGAACTTATCTAGAGAATGATATAATACAATTTAGTATGTAGGCTATTTTATTTGAGCCCAGTGCTGCATTAGAGACCGTTAAAACAGAGTGTGAATCGGATCGAGCTCAACGGACATCTGTATGGATTCAAAACGGCGGGAATTTAAAAAAAATAAAAAATACAAAACTTCTTTAAACTTGACAGCGTCTGATAATCCCTAAAAGATGACCATCAGATACATTATACATTGATGAAAAATTAGGGAAAAATATAACTACTTGAACTATCCCTTTTATGCACGTCATAAGAGAAACACATTAGCACCTCATTTGATATTGCTGCTGAGCTGACATAACCTGGGATGAAGTTCTGAAGGCACAAACTCTTCTTTCAGTTTTCTGAAGTAGTTACTTTAGTGCTTCACTGGAGTCATAGTTATCTTAGAATAAGAATAGACCCAAAAAAATCAGCATCAGTGCCTATTTGGAATGGGCTCCATTTATTTCATTAGATCAGGAGCAAGAATACAGTGTTGAGAGTAAACAAAGACACCAATTTAAACCAATACATACTGTCAATGTGTCCATTCCATTTCTGATGGAATCTGAGAGCTGCATAGACAGCAATACAACTGAAGTGTTCCCAAGTCCAGAGACTTAGCAAGAAGATCTGTAAAATAATCCATGTGACATCAGTGCAGCTACGAGAATACTTTTTGTGTGCAAAAGAAAAAAAATTACGACTTTATTCAACAATTCAACAATCAAACAGTCTACTCCGCATCACCCTGGTGCCATTTTGTAGAATATCCGCTGGATGTAAACAACTTATGCTGTTCTGTGTCAGCTGTGTCACACGGATACGCTGTTTCCGACGTTGTTGTGATTTAATCTGAACGGAAACCGCATATCCGTGTGACGCAGCTGACACAGAACAGCATAAGTTGTTTATGATTTGGATATTCTCCAAAATGGCACCAGGGTGATGCGTAGGAGGCGAATTGTTCAATAAAGTCTTTTTTTTTTCTTTTGCGCACAAAAAGTATTCTCATAGCTTCGTAAAACTACGGTTGAACCACTGATGTCACATGGATTATTTTATAGATCTCCTTGCTATGTCTCTGGACTTGGGAACATTTCAGTTGTGTTGTTGTCTATGCAGGGTCAGACAGCTCTCAGATTCCATCAGAAATACCTTCATTTGTGTTCCGAAGATGAACGAAGGTCTTTACGGGTTTGAAACGACATGAGGGTGAGTAATGACAGAATTATAATTTTTGGGTGAACTAACCCTTTAAGTGTCTTACATTTCAGACACAATTTTGCCAACGGCAATTGTTCCAAACAAAGATCACAGTGCTGTTTTGTGTCTCTGAACAAGACACAGGACGGTGTTACCTCATTGAATGAATCAGCTTTATGAACAAATTGGTTGAATGAATGATTCAGTGACTCATTCATTACCACAGTCAAATGCTTCGTTCCTGAATGAACCAGCCGTTTGAATGAATCGTCTGAATCTCAATCACTCGTTTACAGTGACTTGCTGCCTCCTACTGGTGGTTTTAATTTCACATTTCAACTATTTTTTTATGTTTTAAATCAATATTTATTTAACGTTTTATGTTTAAAACAAAGCATTATTTATGCATTTGTAACTGCAGGTTAAATGAATCAATGTCACCGCTACATTAAACTGTGTAAATACATCTAAATGCCACTTCAGATGCAGATCCCAGAAAGGTTTTGTACCAGATGAAGTGGCTCTTATTCTATATTATAAAAGATCACTCTAAATTGTAATGTAGACACCTGCATTTTCTGTGAAACAATGTCTTTGTGAAAAGCGCTATACAAATAAATTTGAACTGAATTATGACAACCCAAAGATACAAAGTGGAAGAAAGAATTAAAAATGAATACAATCTTGCTGCTCAAACTGTGTATAAACATTTTTTTTATATTTATTTACTCCTTTTCCATTTTGCATTTGCTTGTACTTTTAACTTACAATAATTATGTTTAATATAAAAAATACCTTTCATACTTAAGTACACATACTTTAAAACTTTTACTCAAGTAAAATTCTAAACGTTTACTTCAACTTCTACCAAAGTCATTTTCTGGTAAGATATCTGTACTTTTACTTGAGTGTGGCTTTTAGGTACTTCATCCACCACATCTAATGTATTTCTTTCATTAGAAAGAGCTGTGAACTGAATCCATTAAGTCTTTTGTTGGCAGGTGACTGAGTTGACCAATGAATTCAGCGGTGAAAAAAAATACATAACCAAAGCATTATATGTAATGTATAATATATAATTGGTCTGAACAAAACCAGCAGACAGACTGAATGAAAACGCTAATTTATGCTATTTCAATGTCAAAAACATGACGAGTGCAGGAATGGTTTCTGTAGCCTTTAATAGTATTTTAATAATGATCTTTAACTGAGGGGTAAAAGATTAAAAACACACATCAACAGGTGATTATTACATAAAGTGTTGATCCTGTAGTTTGTCTCAGTCTGTTGACACACAATGAAATGAGCTTAATGTGCCAATTTACAGAAGATCTCAGACATCATCATAATGCATGAGGAGAAAACAGGGAACTATTGGCTTTTCAGCAGCTCATTTAAACATGACGGCTGTGTTTCTGTCAGACTATTAATTCACTAATTGTCAGTTACACTGTTTTGTCTTTGTTGTTTTGCACTATTCTCATTGTAATTGCTTTGACAATATGAATGTACAAATATTTGTCATGCCAATAAAGCACCTGGAAACTAACTTACTGGATGAATAGATGCACTTTGCTCATAATGACGACTTCAGACAAATCTTTTTCATATGATTCTCTACAGAATTTGAATGTTTAAAACTCTCTCCACACCATGATACGGCTTCTCTCCAGAATGAACTCGCTCGTGTTTTTTTAGGCTTCCAGACTGGTTGAAACTCTTGCCACAATATGAGCACTTGTAAGGTTTTTCTCCAGTATGAATCCTTTGGTGCTGTTTCAGATAGACAGCTGTAGTAAAGCTCTTCCCACACTGACAACACACATGATCTCTCACTTCATCATGT